TTGTCTAGGTTGGAAAGGATCTTTAAGATCATCTAGTCCAACCATCAACCTAACTCTGATTAAAAAAAAATAAAAAAATACCCACATCACTAAACCATGTCTCTAAGCACTATGTCAAGCCGTTCTTTGAACACCTCCAGGGATGGTACCTCAACCACCTCCCTGGGCAGCCCATTCCAAGGCTTAATAACCCTTTCAGTGTAAAAATTTTTTCCTAATATCCAACCTGAACCTCCCCTGGCACAACTTGAGGCCATTTCCTCTTGTCCTATCACCTGTGACTTGGGAGAAGAGACCATTCCCAGCCTCTCTACAACTCTGAGCATGGCTATGCACAAGCAAGAGGAAAGCAAAAGGTTCAAGGGAGGCCTTGCCTACACTATTCAAACATCCAGTTAGGAGCCTTAAAACAATCCTTTCGGCAACAGGAAAGAAAGAAAAATATAAAATGTCTATGCAGAAGAATTACTGGCACAGTAAAAACATTAAACAACAACTCTATGTATCAATGGCTTGAAGAAGTTCAGACAGTTGGGACAGTGAAGCTGAGCACTGGCACTCATCTTACACATCAGACCCTGTGAAAAACAAATGGGATATCTGAATTCATGAGGAATCCACACTTCCACCAATGGTTCACCGCACAGCAATTCAACTCTATTATCTGCCATTAGGAAGGATTTCCTAACTAACCTTCAAAGCACTGCTGTTTGGAAAATACCTGCCATTACTTTTGTTGCTTTCCCCATTTAAGACAGTGGAGCAAATTAAGAGTGCCACAAGATTTTAAGCAGGTAGCTTAAAAAAAAAAAAAAAAAAGAAATAGATACTAAATACATACTGATCACTGTACTACACGAAGGTGAATTAAGAGATTTCACTAGCTTTATTAGGCAGCTTCCCAGACAAGAGTCTAAGACTGTGAGAATTTAGTATGCATTTCCCTAAGTTTCCGCATACTTTAGCGGCCAGAAGACTGGCAACAAGCACTGGGACTTCAAGTTTTTCCCAAATCAAGCCCAACTGCAGTAGAATAAATCACCAGTATGTATTTATTTGCTCACTACCTGACAGATCTCATACAGAGCACACAGGTCCAGCCTATTCCATCAAACAACAGCATGGATTATTATCGAAAGCACCTCTATACCCAAACACCTCTAAGAGCTTTACTTGGGCTCTACAACCAGAAAGACAGAATTAGCATTACTTTCTAATTCCTAGCATTTTTTGGGTCTCAGCAAATGCAGAGGGAAAAGAACAGAGAAAGGAACGAAGAGCAGAAGTCGTCAACCAGAGCATTTCACTGTTTTTACCAAACACAAGGCAGTTGACTGCACCATGAAACTCACTTGCAATGAATGCTGAGAATTTTGTGAACTAAGATAAGAGAGCTGCACTTGTTGGTAGCCAGACTGAAAAAAAATAATTATTACTTATAGATGTAATGCTAAAAATTTGACAAAGTTCCCTCCAAGAAGTGACCCATAAGGACCTCAGGTTGCAGTTCTAACTGGCTACAAACAAGACCTCCCAACAATTTCCAGCTCAAACTACACAGGATCCCTTTCTCTCTGTTGCCAAGACATTCCCCAACAGACTTCAGGAACAGTTACAGTTGGGTGGACACCACATGAATTTCCTTCCTGTTACGTTAATATTCTTCAGAGTTGGAAAGGGTGCATCTTCAGCCCAAGCTTACCATCGACTTCCCAATGGCCATATTCCCACTTATCGTGAATACCTGATAAGCCAAAGGTAACAGCCCGACACATTTGCCTCTGCTTCTTTAAGCATAAATCTGATAGCAGAAATTTCTACTAATGAGATTAAAGTGTTTTTGTAAAAATTATAGAATGATTTGGGGTGGAAGGGACCTTAAAGATCATTTAGTTCCAACTCCCCTGCCATGGGCAGGGACACGTCCCGCTAGATCAGGTTATTCAGAGCCCCATCCAACCTGGCCTTCAACAACTCCAAAATACAATATTCCTATTTCAGGTAGCTAACGTGGGAGCACTTCCCAGTGAAAGAACTGGGATTGTTTAGCCTGGAGAAAAGGAGGCTGAGGGGAGACCTTCTCACTCTCTACAACTACCTGGAAAGAGGCTGTAGAAAGGTGGAGGTCAGTCTCTTCTCCCAAGTAACAAGTGATAGAAGAAGAAGAAATGGCCTCAAGTTGCACCAGGGGAAGTTTAGGATGGATATTAGGAAAAATTTCTTCACAGAAAGGGTTGTCAAACATTGGAACAGGCTGCTCAGGGAGGTGGTGGAGTCACCATCCCTGGAGGTATTTAAAAGATAGGTAGACATGGTGGTGAGGGACAGGGTTTAGTGTTGGTTTTGGCAGCGTTAGATTAACGGTTGGACTTGATGATCTTAAACATTTGATTAACGGTTGGACTTGATGATCTTAAAGGTCCCTTCCAGCCTAGACGATTCTATGATCAAAGCAGGCCTGTCAGACTTGAATAAAATTCTAGCCCTCCAGGAGAACTCACCAAGACCAGCAGGACTAGCATATGGCTCTTCCCAGAGCAAGTGAGAACCCCCAGTTTTTTTGCTTCAATATTAGGAATCAAATACAGACTTTGAGGGAGGAGGGGTTACACTGCTCTGTTCTGCAACAGCTCACGTAGGGCTGAAATAGTACCACAGCACTTCCCCAGAGTGCTTATGATCAATAACAGGGATTTTTTTACCCTTACTCTTGCAGAGCTCTACATATTGACATCCTTACAGTGTCTGGTATCACCGTTTTAACCGAAGCTGTTTCTAGTCATTTGCTCCAAAACAAAGGCTACCACCACTCACACCAGCAAATGTCAGGCAGGACAAGTGAGAAGACAGAGCCACCGCAGCCAGTGTCCTCTCTGGGAAGCCAGCAACCTTCCTCCAGCTGCTGTCTGCAAAGCAGCAGTCCTCCTCACGCTTTGGGAATCGTTTCAGCTTGTCATGTTTCTAGTATTCATTTTCAGAACCAGGCAGGATCCCAAATTTTTTGGCCTTGGTTTTCAGCAACCGCAGAGTCTGAACAAGCCTGTTCTTAGCTGCCAGTGCTGCAAAAAGCTGCCTGAAAAGTTTTGTGAGCTTTTACAGCAAAGGAAGAATGTCGCAAAAGCCCCGGCCCCTGCAAATTTTAGGTGATTCTTCGCCACAGTCACTGGGTGCACGTTAGCTGTACCTGTTGGTGCTTGCGGAAGGTTTCAAAAGACATTTTCCACTTCTGTTGCGGCTGGAGTGGTGCCAGCTGACAGCTTTCATACCCATGGGAAGTGGCTAAAGCAATGCTGGTCTGAACATGACTACATTGCAGGAGCTCTTGATAATAAGAGCCCTTCTGGGATCCCTCCTCTGTTCAGAAACAGTTGGGTTTGAATGTCAGGTCTATGCTGACTCTCCGAAGAATCTACGTTAGAAGTATTCCACTTCATGAAAAGATGTCCAAGATTAAGAGGCCTCTACCGATATTCATGACTCCACATCCGAGATACTGTAGCTTTCTGAAGGAAGACAGAACTTAGAACAACAACATGGGCAAGGTAACCATAAAGGCAGGTGAAGATTAAAAGAAAAAGAAAAAAAAAAAAAGCAGGGGCTGGAGAGGAGATAGAGAACAACCAGGAACTGCCAAAAAATTCGTCTTCTTTAAAATGGTATGTTTCCCAGCAAAAGTAACAAACTGTAACTTTTTCGAGTCAGAGCACAGCTATCTTGAGTCCTGTGAAGACTATTCCTGAAGCTGGAACAGCAAGTTAGACTCTTCAGCCTGGAAAAAAGCACCTGGGGATATGGTAGAAAACTACAAAGGCACCGACGGCAGATCAAGTGCATAGGGATCAGCTGCTCAATGCCTCTTCCAACACTAAGGATCATAGGAAAGGTAGGTAGAGCCAAGCTCAAACGAAAAAAACCAACAAACCAGTGCAGTGGGTACAGACCTGGGCAGCTATTTAGCAGGGGAGAATACTAAAGATGTCTATATAAGCTCAAGGAGAAACTGGACAAGTACACGGAAGAGAGATTTATTATGGGCCACCAAGTAGACCAACCAAAATCCAAAGCTCAGGAAATACCCTGGACCAGAAGCAGTCGGGGGATGGAAAGAGGAGTAACCAAACACATGCTTTTCTTTTTAATCCTCACTAGGCATCCACTTACTGCAACTGTAGAAGGAAGCTGGGCTAGACAAGCCTTTGATCTGAATCAGCACAGCCACTCTCACACATTCCAGTGAGAAGACATGGAATCACTAGTTCTTAAAATTGGAAGAGATACCCTTCTCTCCACTAAGAGAGAGAGATTTCCTTTCTGCAAGTGTGGCCGTTCTTTTCAGTCAAAATGAGACAGATCAACAATGTTCAATTTACTTTCCACGTGTCTCCACTTTGGAAGCCTGTCACCGCAACCCTGCTCTACTTTCCAGAGTTAACAAACATATCTTAAAAGCTTATCGAATTTCATCTTAAGAGCTGTTCCCTGAGTTTTCATCTCCACAGCTCCCGCGAGTTTTTTTTTCAGAAGCAGAGTGCTCCTATAGTTAGGAACCTTCTAATTTCCACCCTGACCACAGCCAGCTTTTACCCATCTGTTCTTGTGCCAGCAATTGTCTGAGTTGAGCTGCAAGCCCTCTGACACGTTCACAATAACGGGTCAACGGTTCTACTACAATGAAGGAAAGCAAAAGGTCAGATCTGCGTCACGAAACACCTACTTAATTTTGCACCAAAAAATTCCAAATTACTCAAAATCCCGGAGAGCACAACTGAAACACACGCACACACGCTTCAGATTCTGCATTAGCCTGCCCATGTGAAGTGAAAATGCAAAGAGGTTTTTCTTAAACAGAACCCTCAGACTGAAGAGAATATTAAAAATAAGTGCAGACCTGTAAATAACTTTATAGGTGTATTACATACAATTACGCAAGTCATTTATACAATAGGCATAACAATCAAGAGAAAATAAGTTAAGGCAGTAATAAAGAATAAAAAACTTACTTCCCAATGTTTTCAGGTAGTGCTTGTAGAGAGATGTCATTTACTGAAAGACACGTTAGATTCTGTAATTCAGGAAAGCTTTCGGGCAACCTATGGAGATATTAATTCAAATCAAGGACTTCCAGCAGAAGTATTCATATTCATGTAACACATACTGGAAAAGAGAACACGTAGTGGAAAACAGGAGTCTATTTGGCAAATACACACAGAGGGAGGCATGCCCAGACTCCAGCATGACTCTCAGAAAATTCTAAGGATCATAGTAAAAAAAAAAAAAACCAAACCATGACTTAGACACTTTATAGTTTCTTCGGTGTCAAAGAACAGGTAATATCCCCGTCTCCCAGCTCCTTTCTTCCCTGCCCCCAATTTGCGACTTAAAAAAGCCATAGGGCTTGAGAACATTTTAAGCGTTTTAACAAATCATTTTTAAAAATCAAACATATTAAAATGTGATTTTTACTATTCTTTTCCTATATAGCCTACATGGTAAAATAACTAAATGAATTATTCAGGTCCATCACCCGGTTGGTCTTCTGCAAAGCTCAGCTTTGGGTTCCTGTAGCATTGCTCGCTGGCCGGCAGGTTGCACCAAGCAGCTCAGTTTACCCCAGGAGACATGCTGGGGTAAAAGGGGCAGTGAGGTAGAGGAGGAGAAGCACCTGGCCCAGGCCATCCAACATCTTCTCGATCCCCCAAGTGTGCACCCTAAGCTCGAGCTGTAGCATTTGGTTTAGCTCCTGCTTTCCCCATCACCCAGCTCAAGGCACACAGTATGACCTGCAGGATAATTAGCTGAAAGGAGCCACATGCCTACAGGTAAATAGAACTGTGCATGATGGGGAAAGGGAAAAAGACAAATTACAGTGGGGGACAAGGGGGCTTTTCATGTGCTCAACTCCACACTGCACTGTCATTTTCTAGACCTTATTAACAGAACACGCTCAGTATCCCCAAAGTGTGAGCTCCGCTCTAACTATCCATTATCATTTAGGCTCTAACAGGTTTAAGACTGGAGTTAAATACTCTGATTATCTTTTGGTCAGTCCTGAAGTGGACAGGCAGTTGGACTAGTTAATCATTGTTGGCCCCTTCCAACTGAAATATTCTATTCTACCTCTATCCAGTCTAATTACAATTAATATGCCTGCTTTTTATTAAGATAAGCTTGAAATCATCTGAAAGCAGCTGGAAAAATGGTCTGCCAGCCACTTTTAATGCTGCAGGTTCATGAATGATTAAGTTTGACAATGACGCAGCATACTGTGTTAGTGGTAGGACATTGATTGGGAAGATCTCTAACTGGCTTTTAAGCTTAGAGGAAATAAGGACAAGAATCAATGGCTAAAAAAAGTTCCAGGATATCACACAGAAAAGGAAATCACTACCAGACTTTCCCACTCAGCCTGGGCAAATTAGTGCCAAAACCTACAGGCTGTTGTGTAGGCAAAAATGAAATTCTGGATCTCATCACAGAAAATACCTGGCAATCATTTGTAAACAGCTCCTGGTATCTGTGTTTTCTAACTTCGTAAACTGCTGGGAGTGATGTTTTCCAGGACATGCACACACGTTGGAGCTGCTTTATCAAGAATTTTTAAAATTCCCTTAAACTGTCAACAAAGAGTTATGAGATCTACTTGAACCCCATTTAAAAAAAACCTTTCTACTCTTGTGTTAATTCCACTCAGCTGTACCTGTGCGCTACAGCTACTGTTTAAGGAATAACACTACTTGGGCCCCAGGCCTTATTCAGGACACAAAATGCAGAAGAACAACTAGCACACTACTACATTTTGACTTCACAGACAATTTTGACTTCAACACCAGGAGAGGCAGCTCTGAGCTTCACCCACTGCACAGCGATGCCTGGAATAAGCTCTTTGGTGACCCTCCCTGCTTGCGTACCTAAACGCCAGCTCAGCCTCAGTTTGCTTTACTGGATTTTTGTGGTATTATTATCCTCACGGGATAAATGGGCTACAGAGGCGCAGGGATTAAGATCACAAGTGCCCCTTTAACGCTCAGAGATGTGACTTTCCAGAGAACTAAGGGCGTGCTATGGGTGACGTGCAAAGGGCGCTTCTGAAGAATCCCAGCTGCAATCTCACGTGGGAGCAGCAAAAACCACCGCAGCGGCGGCTTAAGACGTGACAGGCACCCTCCTGTTTGCAGACTCCTGCAGCCCAGCCAGCCAGCTCGTCCTGCAGGCATTCCCAGCCCCTCTCAGGGCACAGCAAGGTGGGCTGGAGGAGAGAAGGAGCACCCACCGCCAGCACTCTGCCTCGTGCGGCCTGCTCAGCACCACAAAGGAGCTCCATGGCACGGTTCTGGTTCTATTTGGTTCTCAAACTAGCAGATCACCTCTTTTCTGGACAGACTGGAGAGCTGGGCCAAGAGAAACCTAATGAAATTTAACAAGAGCAAGTGTAGGGTGCTGCACCTGGGGAGAAATAATCCCCTGCACCAGGACAGGTTGGGGACTGACCTGCTGGAGAGCAGCTCTGAGGAAAAAGACTTGGGAGTTCTTGTGGACAACAGGATGACCATGAGCCAGCAATGTGTCCTTGTGGCCAAGAACGCCAATGGCATCCTGGGGGGCATCAAGAAGAGTGTGACCAGCAGGTGGAGGGAGGTCATCCTGCCCCTCTGTTCTGCCCTGGGGAGGCCCCATCTGGAGCACTGGGACCAGTTCTGGGCCCCTCAATTCAAGAAGGACAGGGAACTGCTGGAGAGGGGACAGCAGAGGGCTACAAAGATGATGAGGGGCCTGGAGCATCTCCCTTATGAGGAGAGGCTGAGGGACTTGGGTCTCTTTAGTCTGGAGAAAAGAAGGCTGAGGGGGGATCTGATCAATGCTTCTAAATACTTAAAGGAAGGATGTCAGGAGGATGGGGCCGGTCTTTTCTCAATGGTGCCCAGTGACAGGACAAGAGGAAATGAGCACAAACTTGAACATAAGAAGTTCCACCTAAACATGAGGAGGAACTTCTTTACTGTGGGAGTGGTGGAGCACTGGAACAGGCTGCCCAGAGGGGTGGTGGAGTCCCCCTCTCTGGAGACATTCAAAAACCGCCTCAAAAAGATCCCGTGCAACCTGCTCTGGGTAGACCCACTTTGGTGTGGGAGGTTGGACTTGATGATCTCCAGAGGTCCCTTCCAACCCCATATGATTCTACGATTCTCCAGCTTCATTTCACTAGATAAATTCCAAATTCTTCAGCAGATGGAAGGGAGAAACGTAAACAAAACTCCTCTTCTGTACTAAAAGTGTGTGAAAGCCCCAAAGCCTGGCTCATCAGACCACAGACTGGCAGCAGCCAGAGAAGCTGTCGACACACGTGATGCATTTTTGCCACATGTTACTGCATGTCACTGTGTCCCAATTGACGAGAGGGTGATGAAACGCTAGTCCAAGCTTTAATCATTAGTAAAAGCCATTATCTGCAGCAGCTGATCTAAAGTCTATTCCAAATCGTCAGGCACCTGGGTGTGTGCCAATGCAGTCGCGCTAACCATTGCCTTATCTCTCCCAAGTATGAGCAGGGTTTTCCTATGCATTTAAGAGGAGGAATGAAAATTACTTGAGACAATCAGATTTACATTTTTCCTGGTTGGCTAACAAATTTCATCCCCTCCCAGGAAAGATGCACATCACTTTTTAAACCTGCATTATTGCTGCAGTCCCTGCCAGAGACAGACACCGTTGGCAAGATTTCATAGAGAACCTAGATCACAATTTTTAAGGGCTTATTTAAAATTGTAATTGTTACAGCAAGATTGTAATTCTGGTATGGCAAGTACTAAGAAGAAGGTGGAAGTTACCTAGTCAGTGGATTCCCACTGAAATCTGCTACCTGTAGTGCTCTGCAGAATGAGATGCTTTCTGGTATTTCAGGAATATCTGCAGAAGAAAAAAAAAAAAAAAAAAGGAAAAAAATTGTCAACAACCATACTGCATCTACACTGAAATTGTTGCCTCATTACATTCAGTAACTTGTTACTGCAAAGAGTTATCTTAGTATCTTTAAATACATTTCAACATGCAAGTCTGCCTCCCATCCACATACACAACTATCACGACAAAGCCATTTTGTGCTTTTTCATATCCCATTTCCCCCTCCTGCTCCACACTCGTCTTCCTGATCCAAGACTACTCACCTGTCCTTGGACCGGTCCTTATCAGCCTCTACCCATCAGAAAAACAGGTTCTCCATGTGCTAGAACTGCCCTAAAGAACCAATCAAAATCTGAACTTCTCCTTATTCGATCAATGCACGCCCACAATCTGTGCCAGCAGAAAGTAGGTGGGGAGGGAAAACAAGGGAAGGAAGAAGAGAATGTGCAAGTCTCTTCACCTGTAACATACACTTATGGGAGCAGAACCAGCCACCTTCACACTAAAGCCAGGTGATTTGAAAACATTATTCAAATTCATGGGTCCCAAATAAGTGCGTGTGCACTATTTCAGATGGCCAGAAAGTAATCAGAGATACTCGTGTATGAAAACAGATATTTTTTTTTCAAGTATCTTCAACATCACACATCTACCTCCTGAAGTTCGGCATGCTCTTAAAAATAAAATTGTTTTCCTGGGCCTCTTACATCAAGCTGTATTTCCACAAATAGGCTGCGGGTCCTCTGTGCAAGTCCTTGTTTACTGTCATTGAGATCCAGCAAAAATGAAACAAACATGTTTGGTTTCCTTGTTCAACAACTTAGATTTTTATAATTCACTTTGAAAAGAAATCAAAAAGAAAAAAGACAAATCTGAAAGTAAAAATCAGACTTTTTTTTTCCTATTTCCTTTTTTTTTTTTTCCTACAGAGCATTACATCTACTCCGTCTTCCTCTTCCTGCTGTTCTCATCACAAATACTTTGGGAAATTTTATAGATTTTCCTCATACAAGTGGTATCACTGACCTCAGCAGCCATCAGAGTTCTAAATTGAAAAATAATGAGAAATTAGGTCTCTTCCCAGAGTAACTCAGAATTGACTATCTATGTCTTTTCATTCAGCTCTTCTCTCCAAACATGGTGCGATGGACAGAAGAGGGAGGAAAGTACCTGCTCATCAGGTTCATCTCTTGCCAGGCAACCTGAGCAAAAGCATCTACTTTGAATGACTCCCAGCTCAGAACTGAACCCAGAGCTAGCAAGAGCATCTTCCAAACCCACAGGTCACCAGTTCTGAATGATCAGTGAATGGGCGGCGAAGGAGCATCTCCTGGGAGCCACCTTCTGTTTCCTACGTGAGTGGGAAGGGCTGGAGGGAAGGAGGGAGATGAGCAGCCCCAAATGAGTTTCACTCCATGCCAAGAGGTGCTTCCTTTTGGACTGGAAGAAAATCACTCTTGCTTCACAATCCCCAGTGCTCCCAGCACTGGTAAAAAAGAAGAAACTACTTTTAAATCTACACAAACCCTAAGGCCCCTCAACAACAGTAGTCGTCCCATAAAATGGAAGAGCTGACTTTAGAGACTAAGACCCATTAGAGATGTTTTGTATCTTCTTACCCACCCACCCCTTCATAGCAGCTTTGGTCTTTTTTGGGGAAACAGTTGATCTTTCCAAGAAATCCAACAGCAATGAGATAAATTCAGAGTGAACCATGAGGTGAGGCCTTTGAGGTGAGATGGGACAGGCGATGCCAAGTTCCCACATCAGGACTAAGAGAGCTTGCTCCCCTCCAGCAGCTTATCTCCCAGGAGGAGCACACCACGTAGCAGGACACCACCCTGGCACCAAGGCCAGAAAGGTGCAGGGGCCGTCATTTGGGACCTGGAGATCAACTGAGCCTTATGGTCAGGCTCTTCAAACCTCTCCATGGGTATCATCTCATTCGCAAGCCCGAACCCATCGCAACATGTGCCAGGCAACAAGCAGATCCTCCATAAAGAACCTTGGAAGTAGCTGTGAAGATGCTGCAGGAGTCACAGGGTTCCTGAATTTAAATCTGGGACACTTGAACCACCAGCCTACTTCAAATCGTCACATTCACAAGCATCTGCTGATCTCACGTCAGGAGTCAAAACCTCACACTTTATTCCTCTCACGTGGTAGGAACAAATAGGTTTGAATAGTGGCGATTGAGTAACTTAAAAAAAAAGTATCATTAAGATTGCCTGATTCAATGACGACCTTGAAGTGATAAATTCTCATAACACTCTAAGCACTTTAAAGCAATTGCCTGTCACTAACATTCCAGAAAGTAAAAGCACTGACGTCATTGCAAGGACATTGCTCTGTCTTGCAAAACAGATGGCAAACAAACTATTTTTTCTTTTGTTCTTTTTTTTTTTTTATTAAACATTCACGTAGAAGCACTTGCTTTTGAAAGGGTGTTTTAAGAAATACAAACAGTACACAGAAATTGAAGCCTTCCCTTTCCCTGCAACTGAAATACACGTAAACAAAACAATATCAAAACCAGATTTACAGACAGCAAAGCTGATGGTTTCACCCATTCAGTCCCCTATGACTGAGCGTCCCCTGTAGAAGACTGAATTTGTACCTACAGGGTTATTGAAGACAGAGGCTCTACATGCACTCAACAAACACTGTCACTTCTACCTTAGTTTCTGACACTAATCACGCTTCTGACTTCCTCCACCAAGGTGTAGTTTCATTGCCATAGTGCAAATAATTTCTCTTCTACTTCAGTATGGTGGACCGTGACAACCAGAAAATACACCTTCTCAGGAAAACTATTTTGATAAGTTTTTTCTGTTACAAGCCTTGGGTATTATCTGTAAAAGCCAACAAGTACCTGAGCTGAATAAAAATTACTCCAATGTAAGATACTCCTTGAAGTCAGACAGTATAGGCACTGCTTGTAGTTTGGATGCATTTGCAAATTACAAAATCTGTTCTGAAAATGAAATGCACTTTCACAGCCTAGATATTCCAGACTATGAAGTCACTACATGAGCAAAAATCTTCAATAAGAAACAGTAACAGACACAAGGAAAAGAAGGGAAATTCCATTTCTAAGTTAGGCTTTTTGGTTTCTTATCTAAAGTGAATTTTCCTCCCCCCATTGATACTTTTTCCATATCTGATTAATTTTTCCCCTCCACCTAACTGGACAAGGGACAGACAAAAACTCAATGCAGCTCTTTGAACTGAGGATCATTATACTGAGGATCATTTAGTCAGTTCAACAAGGCTGAAATGCAACTGGTTTTAATTGCAAGGCATCTTAAGAAGATTTCTCAGGCAAAACACAACCAAGTTATGAGCAGGAGTGATTCTTAAAGCAGAGAAGATGATTGTCCATAATAGAAACATTGACGTAATCAACTGAAAAACAACAGAGGTTCTTAAAATATATAGAGAAGTCCTTCTGTCTCTTGATGGATTAAGCAGCTTTCACCATTTCTGTTGACTGCTCAACTTCCTTCTAGACGTTAGCACAAACATCTCTGCCACCATCAGCAACAGTGAGGTTGAATGCTTTTCTTACCGCTGCTGGATAACCAGCTCAAATCCTACTTAAATATCTAGGATTCTTCTAATGCTAAACGCTGACGAATGCTCTACATTTACACGATGCCCCAGATGTTCCGGGATACAGATTGTGCAGCATTGCTAATAATAAAGCCATAAGCCCTGTGACGTGTGACAATACAAATACACTGGCAGCAAAAAGAAGTCGTGCCAGCAGAAGTGGATGAAAATCAAGCTCAGCAGTCATGTGCGTAGAGAGGGCATATTCCCTCCCCCCATTCAAAATACCTCTTCAGATGTTTATCGTTTTAGTTTGCACAAAAATTTGCTAGTGACCTAGCAAGTCTTGTACAAGGGAGGTACCTCTTGTACAAGAGGCAAGTTTGACGCTACAGAATTCTGTACTGTCTGAATGAAAAAAATATTTCTAAAACCACGTTTGTTTGGTGCTAATACATTTTTTGTTGAAGGTCTTTACAAACAACAACATCTCTTATTCTCCATTCTCCCACTTTCTTTCTTCCAATGGCTAGGAGGGAAGGGGAAAAGACAACTTTCATTTTAAACTGACAAAACCTTTTGTATGGCACGTTTTTACAGCATTGTATATCGAATTTCAAGAACTGGCAGTATTTTTTGTGCCTGCTCAAAGGCTACACATCCAGCATCCTTTACACATTCTGCAACAGTGACCATAATTTCCAATATCGAGACAGCAATGGCCAGGAGGTCCTAGGCTGTGACAGGGCTACCAAGACCAGAGCTACTCAAACAGTGGACTCCAGCTCAAAGTAAAAAGTATTTTCACAGGAACTTAGCTGAAGTCTCAGATGTGGCACGTTCCTGAGGGAGAGTTTACAATGTTCACAGGTCTTTCAGGGAGCAGCTACTGGATGCTGTTGTATTTTCCAGCTATGAAGGTGACACGGAGTGCTGTGCTTTAGGAGCTGGTGCACCTCATACACCCCACCAAAAGTCAACGTAAGAGTCTTGATCTAGACAGTCAGAGCAAAAGGCCCACCGCCAGGTACGTACAACACAGGCAAGAGACCTTAGCCACTTAGTGATTAGTAATTCATTAATGTATTAAGTAGTTGATTGGTTTACACAAAGCGTGTACCCAGGAAGCCCAGCCCAGACCCAAAGACTGTAAATTCATGCAGCATTTTCCCTCAGGAGAGAGATCACCAGAGGGGAACCAGATCTCATCCATGCAGTTCAATACACAGAATAATTTTCCCCCTGCCTCTTTACACATATATAATATACAATATCTATGGCAGTTTATCAGAGAGACACACACACACACACACACACACACACACAAAAGGTCCAATAAAGCATTAAGCACTGGAGTGTTTGAGTGATGTTGGAGCCTAGAGGTGCTCTTCCCACTTCCACAGAGGTTCCTCTGTGAAACCCACCGCAGAGGGGTCTCCAAGACCTGCCCTTGG